GAGATCCCACATCCTTTTTGCTCCCTCAGTAGCTGTAGGGGTCAGCTGTGCTGCTGCATCCCAGAGCAGATCATCTCCCAGGGGCCTCCAAGAGAAAAACATATAACTTGTATGGCAGCCAACATGTGCAGGGAGGTTGCTGCATTCTTTCCCTGGCCTTGCTCTGCAGAGTCCTTCCTGGTTTTGGGTTGCACAGTTCTGCTGCTGGTGCAGGCTGCTGATTAACAGCATGGCTGAAGCTCTGGGGGATCTATCCCAAGCTTTCTGTTATAATGTGTTGTCCCGAGAGAATTGACTCTTGTCAAGTATTAGATTGACCTCACCAACACTTTATTCTTTAAACAGTATCTTGAAACTGCATCAGATGCAGTAATGTTTAGTTCTACATGCTGTACTTGAGAATTGGATGTTTGGGGAACTTTTGGTGAGTAAGTAAGTAACCTTTCCTTCCTTTTCATCTCGTTTTTCAGATGTGGAGTCATCACTCAGCAGCCAGTCTCCCAGTTACTCTCCAAGGCAAACAGAGAGCTATTTCAGCTCTAGTCCTGACATGGTGAGTACTGCCCCTTTATGGGTTTGCAGGGGTTCATTTGAATGATACCTGGATTTCTGAGTGCATCTAAGAGTGGGTGTAGCTGGAATGTTATTTATGGTTTTATTTTGTACAAGGCAACTTCGTGTGTGAGGAAGACAAGAAATGATAAGCTCTAAGTTTTCCTAAGTAGTTTACCAGACATGTAGTCTGGCTCTGGATAATGCCAGGCTGAATTACAGTAACGTCACTGTGGGAAGATGCTAAGCAGGCTTCTTGATGTATAGCTGCCTTACCTTATGTGCCTCAAGCTGCACCAGGGGAGGTTTAGATTGGATGTTAGGAAAAATTTCTTCACTGAAAGGGTGATCAGGCATTGGTAACAGGCTGCCCAGGGAAGTGGTGGAATCACTGTCCCTGGAAGCGTTCAGAAACCATGTAGATGAGGCCATCAGTGACATGGTTTAGTGGCGGACTTGGCAGTCCTGGCATAAAGTTGGACTTGATGATCTTCAAGGTCCTTTCCAAACTAGGTGATTCTATGAATTTATGCCTGTAAGGCTGGAGGATTTGACACACTCCGTGTTTTTCAGCCATTCTTGAACACAAAAATGCCACAATGTAAGAATGTAAGTTCTGTGTGAGAGGGAAGGTGTGCCTTACCCATTTTCTCTTTCACAAAGGCCAGGAACACACCCAAAAGCAGACAGTTCTGGCCTTTCTCTATATTTCATTACCTTAGTTATTACTTAGTCATTAACTTAGTCCTTTGAATTATTCAAACAGTTGCATTCACACAACTCTGTTCAAACAGTCTGAAGAGGATGACACAGCCCAAAAGATGACATATAGGAATGAACAGTCCTTGAAGAAAGATGATGCCAACCTAGCCTCAGGAAGCACAGAGCCCCCTCAGACCTTGCACGCTGGAAATGTGCCTCTCCAGCCCAGCAGTATTTTGACTAGAGAAGCAGCAAACCATCCTCGGGAGAAAGACTTTACTTTATGCGCCCCAGAGGAGGAAAATAAAACCCACACTGCCCCACCTGAGGGCAGCTCGTTACACCAAGCCCAGAAGGGAGAGCCTGTCACCCGCAGTAGCTGGCGTGATGCCTGGGTGCAGACGGAAGGCTCTGTTACACAAGTAGAGAAGGTGGATGCTGCCACCCAGTGTGGCCCTATACCGGTGTGCTGCTGTGGGCGCTCCCTCCCCTCGGCCCCCAGCACCGCTGGAGGGCACAAAGTGCCAGCGCAGGAGGAGATGCAGCCTCCGGGCTCCGGCACCGCGGCAACACCCGCCGCGTTTTCTTCTGGAGCCGAGTATCTGAGTTTGGCTGGCAGAACGACTCTAGACGTGCTGAACTACATTGATATAATGAAGGAGAGAGAGAAGCAGTGACCAACTAGGTAGCACGTAAGGAATACAAAAGTTTTGTTCTGTTCTCAGTGTGCTCCATTTAATTGGCATATTTAGATTTTTCTATCCTGTTTGGATAAAATGGTTTTACGCTGTTTGTTTGCTTTAAATTATTCTTAACTATGAATTTCTATCTACCTCCTGCTATCTCTAACTATGAATTTCTATAGATGTCTAACTGTTAACATAGGATTTTACAATAACCTAGTAAATACAAACCTTAGGAACTAGCTTGGCTTCCCCACCATATATCTATAGGATTCTGTAGTTTGGGATTGACTTTGCTTCTCTTGAAGGTAGTGGAAAGATTCTGTTTCACTTCAGAACATATTTGATGTGGCTCTTTTAGTTCAGAACTGTCAGATTCTTATCCATTTTAACAGACAAATTAGCCTTTGCTGCTTGTTCGGACTAAATACAAAAATGAAAAACAACAGAAAATGTACATCTGCACACATAAATTAGAATGTGATTTTAAAAGAACTAATTCGTTAATTTAAATTTAAATTTAATTAACTTAAACCACAAAATTACCAAAACAAAAAACTGCTTAATTTTCCTTCCATAGCAGCTCTATTGACTCATTCTCTGGCTGGTGATACTGACAAATCTTGTAGGTGTTCTGTATTTTGCCTGCAGATTGAAAATCTGAAACGCTTCAGTACTTGTATGAGGTTGGAAATCTCAACAAATAAAAGTTTCTGATAATATTGTTTCTAGGTGATATTCTTTCCTTCTAAGGAAGTTCCTAGTAAAAGCAGCGGGGAGACTCACCCTGTTACTGACAGCTTATATATTCATACACCTTTACTTGTATTTACATCTCTCTATATACATCTTATATATGTGGGGATGTGTTTGTATATACACTGGCATTAGCCAGTTGGCTGCATGCATGGATCCTCTTCATTACAAACTGGGCTTAAGCAAAAGGTATGCTGGAGTTATTCCTTAAACAGTGCAGGTTCGCTCTTCCAAGGTTAAGATGTTGTGCTTTTCCCCTTTGGAGGCAGCTGGTGAAAGAGTCACTGCCCTTCTTCCTATCATCAGGTGGGTTTCTTTATTTGTATGTTTTGTAATAAAAGGTTTTGTGGGTGAAGGGCTGTGTGTCACCCATCCCTGATGAGACCCATCACCATTCTTTGTCTCTGTTCTCATCATCAAAGTAGCGGCTGTGTTTTCTGCCAGGTTTTATTTTGGAAGCTAAGAACCGTTTTTAAAAGAAAGTCTACATTGCTCAACAGTTCACAGGTTTATGGCTCTGTCATCTTAAAAATAGCATCTCAGAAAATTCAAGGGACTTTTCTGTACTTGGAAGAAAATAGTGTTGTCTTTTATATATAGAAATCACATACATGGGAAGTGGTTTGCACAGCCAGACTTCTGAAATGTGTAACTATCATTTAGCCAATTCACTGCCCACTTCCTAAGGCTTGACATAAGCAGATTTTCTTTTTTTAGGTTGCCTCAGTTTCTTGCCAAGGCGAGCTCCCTAGCGATTTATTACTTTTTTAAATCTGAAACTGCAACGTACATCTTCCTGTCAGGAGCTGTAGTTTATTTCTGTAACAGCTGGGATTTGCTGAAAGCTCAGCCATTGCCGGTGGTTTGTAAGGCACAGTTGTTCACTCAGCGTCATGAAACCCATTCACAGTGTGCCACGACAGCAGCAGCCCATCCTGGCTTGAATGAGGGCATCTCCAAGCCCTGCATTGTCCCAGCAGTCCCCCATGCCTGGTGCATACCTCTCAGTCTTTCCAGTGGTGCCTGTCCCACGCCATGACCCTCTCCACAGCCAGTGCTGCTCCAGCGCGCTTGGTCTGCCAGCCTCCTGCCATATGCTGCAGCAGAGGTCAGTGAACACACCTGACAGCTGAAAGCTTCAGCACTGTGTACTTCAGGTTTGTTTTTGCTAGACTGGCAGATATGAAATTGCCACATGGTCAGAGATTTCTCTGGTGGCTGTGCTTAGAGAGATGCTGAAGTGATCCAACCCATGGTAAACTGCCATTAACTTCACAGCATCATAGAATGGTTTGTGTTGGAAGGGACCTTAAAGCTCATCTAGTTCCAACCCCCTGCCATGGGCAGGGACACCTTCCACTAGACCAGGTTGCTCCAGGACTCATCCAACCTGGCCTGGAACACTGCCAGGGATTGGGCAGCCACAGCTTCTCTGGGCACCCTGTGCCAGCAGTTCACCATCCTGACAGTAAAGAATTTCTTCCTAATGTCTAATCTAAATCTCCCCTCTGTCAGTTCAAAGCCATCCCCCTTGTCCTGTCACTACGTGCCCTTGTAAAAAGTCCCTCTTCAGCTTTCTTGTTGGCCCTTTTAGGTACTAGGAGACTGTTGTAAGGTCTCCCCTGAGCCATCCTTTCTCCAGGCTGAACAAGCCCAACTCTCTCAGCCCACCTCCATAGCAGAGGTGCTCCAGTCCTCTGATCATCTTTGTGTCCCTCTAGACTTGCTCCAACAGCTCCACTTTCCCTCTTGTGTTGGGGGCCCCAGAGCTGGATGCAGTACCACAGGTGGGGTCTAATCAAAGTGGAGTAGAGAGGGGGAGAATCCCCTCCCTCAGCCTGCTGGTCACACTCCTTTTGATGCAGCCCAGCACATGGCTGGAGAGTGGCATCACTTCTGAGAATCCCGAGTTCAGGTGGGTACTCACGATCTGCAGAGCTAGCCTCTGACTGGGACATATTCCCAGCCTGCTCCTGGGAAACTACGGAACAAAGAGTGCAGGTGAGAACTGGGAAAAGAGAGCTTATTGCACTGCGTGGATGTGTATGTGGGGGGTTTCAAACGAAGCAATACCGCTTTATTAAGTTATCTCTCATATCTCTCTTAATTTAGAGCCTTTCAGTGGGTACAGCTGATTTTACTTCAGCCACTAATATAAATGCTCTCAAAATCTGCCTGGTTGCAGCCAGGTTTCAGCCAAGATTGCACCATTTCCTAGTAAGGACTGAAATTACACAGCTCAGCGCCAGACAGACATTTTCTGACTGACTGTACATACCTGAGAGGTAAATCCACATCTCTAATGCAATAATTCACCACTTGGGATATGTCAGTCACTGTAAATAATCATGTTTCAAAGCCTTTGGATGAGAGCCTATAAAATCCAATTACCTTACAATTTTTACCTGTAATTGCAAAGCAATCAGAAGAAAGAAAACTATCTTTGTAGTGGTATGTGTGCTGGCAATGATGATAAGGCAGCGAGCTCTTTTTAGTCACTAGAGAGGTATTTTAAAGTATTTATGTTACTATTATTGCATTAGAAGAGCATCGTGCTTTCGCCTTATCTCAGCACCAGTCTCCCCTCTGCTCAGGTGGCTTTCTTTCACCTAATTATTTGGTGACTTTTGAGAAGAGCTGAGTTTGATTTAGTAGGAATCTCCTCATCTTCAGTGGTAGCCTCAAATCATGCTTTCTTCAGGTGATACTTCAGCAGCTGATGCTATTAATCCACCAATATTTGTAACCTACAGAAATGACCATCACCCCACTATACACATCCAGGCACCACCAGCTCCCTCTGAGGCAGCAGCACAGGCAGAGGCTCTCCTTTTCCACCCATGTTAATCTTCCTGCTGTGTGCTACACCTCTGGGGAGGCCACAGAAATGTCTGTCTTACTAATTGTGTTTGTTAAGCATCAATAATGAGTTGAGTTTTGCTGGGAACAGGACAGAAGGGTACCTGTGATTAACCAAAACCCAGAAGCATTGGTTTAATGGTAGCACATGAATGCTTCTAAATACAGACAGAAAGATTCTCTCACTGAGATGAGACACTAAGTTTCAGTCAGAAGCAGTTTTAACATGCAGCTGGTAACCTTTCTCCTCCTATAAAATCAGCTCTAATTACAGTAACCTGCAAGGTTTCCTGGGCAAGCACCAGCAGAAGTTTTGTTTCATTAATGGACAGTTCATTGATGGATGTTATGCCAAGAGCCTCCATGAACTTTGTAGAAACCCTTATTTCATTTCTGTGAAGGATTATCACTGTGGGAAATGAGAAGTTTAAGTCTTCGTACACATGATTATTTCTCGGGTGGAAACCGTTAACTGTTTTTTTCTAGCACACAGCAGATGCTGGATCTGGAAGGATGCAGTTTCCTGGGGAAAATACTAAATGCTCTGCATCCAACACCTCATCTGTCCCCACAGGAGCAAATGACCTTTCTGCAACGCTTCCAGCCTCTTCTCACTGACAGCCTCTGATGGGTTAGAGGTGACAGTCCTGGTCACCTGAGTCAGATCTTGCTTCTCCAGGGCTGGTGATATCGAACTCCAACAAGGTTCATAACTCTGTGAACTGAATGCTGAATGCTTGTCCTCTCACCTCGCCACGATGCTGTAAGTCACATCCTGCACCTTGAGGGTGCTTGCTCTGGGTGCTGTGGTTGTTTGGATGTAAAAGGTTGCAGTGAGCTCCTGTGCAGCACGCAGATGGCTGCAGGGGACGCTGATACACCAGATGTGTGTGAGGCGATGGGGAAACTTGAGCTGAAAGGCAGAGTGGTGGAGAGTCAGTGAAGACAAGGCAGGAGGCTGCAAGAAGGATGTTGTATTATTTAATAGAGCTGAGATAAACCATTTCCAAATCAACAGTTTGTGCATGCTGGCAGAGAGAGAACTGTGATTTACTGCTGCTGTGTCACACTCAGCACATGGGGCCTGGCCTGGCCAAAGGACCCCGAGCTGTGGCCAGTCAGCAGGACAAGCCAGTACATCACATTGCAGAAGACTGACTCTGTTCCCTGGGCTGGAGGAATTCTCAGGGAACAGGAGGGCTGTAAGATTTGCTTTCCTCTGCTCACTCACTCAAGTTTCCCTGCAGCAATGAAGAGCAGCAGTGTTTCACCCCAACACCATCTCATACCCAGCACCAGCCCCAGCTCCTCGGGGCTGGGCTAACAACGGGCACTCGGCGCTCTCCCAGCAGGGACTGGGGTGTCCTGATGCCTTCAGT